CTGGGCTGTGCCTTGGTTACAAACCTTCAGTGACTACTAAAACTGCATCAAGCAGGCTAGCACCTAGTTCTCCTGGCCATGGGAGAATGTTAAGGACCAGGTAGGGACCAGAGGAAAGAGTGAAGTGCCTCTCTTCAAACAAATATGTTTCATCTGCCAAGTGATTGATGCCCCAAGTTGTATGGGAAAAGAGACTGTCTCAGGGACTCCATCCTGGCAGAATTAGAACCAGTGCTTGGGGTCTGGCCAGGATTGATTGAAACATACAACAAATGAAGCATAGTCTCAAAAGGAGGTCTAGGTTGATAGAATCTGCAAACTTTGAGTGGCTCATCTCCAGATATGTAATAGAGGAACTCTTGCTAAAGGCTAGCTAGCAAGGCTATTTAAATTAGAGCTGCAATGAGTTCAGTAACAGATTGATGTCCTCAAAGTGACTTGTGCTCCCTGGAGTTGGTGGAGCATCCTTGTCTCCTAGAATTCTGGGTGATTTCTCTTGGAGAGTGTGCCAAGTTGTACCCACTCTGGGGTCAGGTACAGAAGGGTGACAGCTTGGCTTTTTCCTTTGGCCATAGTCAGAGGCTTGACAAGCAAAGGAAGCTGGCTTTGGGCAGCTTTCAGGGGCAAGAAGGGAGTCCCAGTTTGCTTTGTATAGATTGACTATGTCATACAAAGAAGAACTGCCTACTAAGATTAAATACTGCCAAGGGTGGAGAGTCACCGAGGGACAGGTTGTAACAGAACCACCCACCTGCTGACTTACATGCCATGTAGCTTTGACAGGGTACTTACCCTCCCTGTGACCCTGTTGTCTCTGTCATCAGATGGGGAGGAAGGATAGTCATTGCCTTCTGCAGGGAGTAAGATGAGGGTTATGAGTGAATGCCTGTAAAGCAGTTAGAATAGTACCTGACACATAGTAATTGCTCTGTGAGTATTAACCAAATAGAGACTTTCTATTTGGTTATTATACAGATCATCAAAATTGATTTAGACCCAATATTAATTCTTCTTTTTATTGACTGAATTGTCATAAAACTCAAGTTGAAATTTTTTAGGCTGTTGCTGCTCTAGATGCAATGAATTGTCAATCACTCTTTGTATAAAATGACATCCAAGACATATCCACAGTATAAATGAAATCAGCTAGTGGTGGCCAAACTGAGCTGCATTTTATAAAGAAGCTGTGTAGGCTTATTTCAGCGGTGGATCTAGCTCACGTGTCTCCCTGTCTTCAAATAAGGTCTTAATAGGGAAGCTCAATGCAAACTGAATAAAGATCAGTGTCAGCTCCAACTACCAAGGCTGGTGCTTGGGTTGGCATGTCCCAAAACACTCCAGAATACAGCTGCTTAATGCTTAGCTTCTGGACCTGCCTCTTAGATGAAGCTCCGTGCCAAAGTAATAATTGAAATGAATGGATTTTATTTTGATACTATCCATTAATAATAAAAGTACCATTGGCTTTTTATTACTAACTAGTTATAGATTACTATGCAAATTGAAAGTAAATTGTTAGATTTTTGTGGCTTGCATATCTCATAATTCCAGTAGTTGACATCTGTGCATTAAGTAAAACTTATTTGGATTTTCTCTCTATTTTTAGTGGGTTTGTGCAAGGAGGCATGCTAAAGGAGGTAAGTAGGCCTTTTAGATGCAGGCACTTACCGCACAAACATTATTTGTCAGTGGACTAAGTACGGGCAAATTTTAAAAAGAGTGGAAAGCATAGTCTTTCTCATTGCAGCTTGAATTATTATAGTTAGCTCTTAAAATATGCAAAAGTCCAGTTGCTTCAATCTTCAGTATCTGGAATGTGGCTCTGGGTTCAAAGAGGATAAGTAATGAAGAATATGGAGTTGCTGTGTTTATTTTTAGAAAAATAAAACAAAATAGTTGCGGTATGGGAAACATTCCCTTGTAGCCTTACATGTTTGCCTTCCACCTTCTCATCCCTCTGAAATTTGCCTATCTTTTACATAGAGTCAGGCAGTTCATGTCACAGGCTTCACACAGGCAACAGTAGAAGTCATACTGTACAAAGTGCACAGCAGCGACAGAGATGGTGACATTCTGATGATAGCTACTGGCCACCTGGACTACTTTCCCAATAGCTTAGCTTTGCCGACAGATGAAAAAAAAAAAAAAGAATGGCTGAATAAATAGAGAAATGTGGGTCTGGAGGACTTCTCTAAAAGATAGCTTGTAACGATAAATCTGCCAAAGCCACCCGAGCCCTGCTGCCATGTGGGTGCTTTCTGCCAGGCTGCCCGAATACTGCCTGCTGCATTAGGGCCCCAAATAATACACAGAGACTTACATTAGTTTACAATGCTGCTGGCCAATTGACTAAGATTTCTTATATGCTAGCTCAGTCTTAATTATCAACCATAACTATTAATCTAAAGACTTATCTTATGGAGACACTGGCAGCAGGTGTCTTCTCTTGCCGGAATCACATGGTGGCTCCAGAGCAGAGAGCAAGAGCAAGAGCAAGAGGAGGATTTCCTTCTTGTCCCAGCTTATATATGAGTCTCCCTGCTATGTCACTTCCTGCCTGGATCACAACACTTCTTTACTATATTTCCCACAAACCTCCTTGACTCCTAGTCCCACCCAACTTCTTCATTGGCCAACAGTACTTTATTCAACAACCAATAAGATAAACATATACAGAGAAGGACATTCTCCATCAATAGCTATCTCTGGTGCCCATGTCATTTCATAAGCCAGAGTGTGGTATCCCAAGTTTTAGTCTGCCTTTTCTTCTCAGTGGGCGTTTCTTTCTCACACATAGGGAGACAGCCAGAGGAACCTACACCACATCACAAGTGGTTTTGTTTGGTGGCCATGGCCATTGTACTAGTGACTGAGTGACAGCCTTTGTCCCTTGTCAAAGTCAGATTCTTAAAGTGTTTCTACTTCTGATCCCTTTTCACCTCTTATATAAATTAGATTACTAATCAGATATTTACTGATGAGAAAATCTTAGACTTTTACTGTTTGTTTTGTTTTTGCTTTCTGAGACAAGGTTTCTCTCTGTGTAATGATCCTAGGTGTCCTGGAACTCACTTTGCAGACCAGGCTGGCCTTGGATTCAGAGAGATCCTCCTGCCTCTGCCTCTTGAGCGCTGGAATTAAAGGTGTGTACCACCACCCCTGGCTGACTTTTACTTTTAAAGATTTACTTATTATTTTTAAATGTGTGTGTGTAGTAGAGAAGAGGTACCTCCTAGTCCACTGCAGGCCACAGGTATCAGATTCCCCTGGAGTTTGAGCTATAGGTGGTTTTGAGTAGGCTGACATGGACCCTGGGAATCAAACTTGGATCCTCTGCAGGAGCAATATATACTCCTAACCACTGAACCACGTCTCCAGCCTCCAAGAGATTCATTTTAAAACAATTCTTTAGTATATATGTACTTTTACTATTTGTTAAAGAAGAAGGTAAATTTGAATACTGATGAGATAGAAGTGCAGAAGGAATTAAATTTTGGCGTATATTTGATACTGCAGGAGGAAGAGCATCTTTGGTGTTTCTCAGAGCTGATTAATATTTTGATTTTATAATTGTCAGTGTTGAATAATGCATGTCACTTAAATACATAGTACAAAAATGGCAGAAGGGTGTTCAGGACCATTTCAGAAACAGTTGGAAATTCTGTCCTGCTCCTGAGCCAAAATTTTCATTTAACAAGTTTTATGGAATTCATATATATATATATATATATATATATATATATATATATTTTCATTTGATACTTACATGCTGAGGAATGATGGTAGGAAAATATTAAAAGACTTAGTCTTCTATCCTCAAACCATTGTGTTTCCATAAGAGCAGAAAACTTTGCTCAGTGAAACACTGTGGTTCGGAGCATGCAGTAGTCTGAGCCACGGTGTTTCAAGCAGCATTTGGTGGTAGTGTGTTAGGTCACACAGCATGCAAGAGGCAAAATCTGGTGTGTTCAGAGCCAAGGCTGCCATGAAGTGGCAAGATGTAGCATGGATTGCATTGCCACAACCCCCTTGGATTCATTGTGCATTTGTTTTTTACTTAGTTGTTGGTCCTGTATTTTACTGTTTACTATATTCTACCATTGACCAATTCTTAAGAACCCCTCCCACCAGGAGAAACTATGTAAGTTCCTTTGAAGTTGTGATCCACAGTCAAAAAGTCCAGAGTATAGGAGTTATTCAAGGCTGTTGACTTGAGTATAAGGATGGGATTCTTCAAGCTACAAGGTATATCAAGCCCCCAAGTTTTTGAACCAGATACCAGCTGTAGCCCAATCTCCAGGCCAGGTCATCTGGGGGTGCTATCCTCTCTCTGGGCAAGGTCAGAATGTGGCATGTAGAGAGACTGCAATTAAATAGTATAAAAGTTATGGCTAACATACACTTAGAGTAGAAACTTTATTTAAAAAGTAAGCAGGTAGGCCCGTGAGATGGCTCATCAGGTAAAGGTACCTCCCCAGGATCTACATGGGAGAGGGACAGAATTGAAAGTTGTTCTCTGACCTCTAATATATCCACCTACACACACACACACACACACACACACACACACACAGACACACACACACACACACACACAAACACACTATGTTTATTGTGGTTCCTCACCAGCCAGCCATCTTGATTTGTTTGAGAGAAAGAGTTTTTCCCACTGATCATGGTTTACCAAGTAGGCAGTGCCAGCTGGTCAGCAAGTCTCTGGGATCTGCCCTTCTCTACCTTCCCAGCACTAGGATTAGAGATACAAACTGTTATTCCCAGCTTTTTATGTGAGTCCTGGGGCTCAAACTCAGGTCCCATGTTTGCATGGCAAGCACTTTACAAACCAAGCCACCTGCTCAGACCCTATGGCAAGCACTTTACAAACCAAGCCACCTGCTCGGACCCTTAGGCTCACCTGTGTGAGCATCCCCTCCCCCATGACTTGCTGTGGCTTCCTACTGCTTCCCTACTGAGCCTTTGTTATTTTCTCAACAGATTGAACAAAATGAAGCCAGGAGGCTTCTGGCCACATCTTGCCCTACTAGGGGTCTCCCTGCCGGCTGTGCTGGGATGGATGGACCATGGAGCCAGCAGAAGCCCGAATGTGGTTCTGCAAGAGTCCAAGGCAGAGGTATGGTCTAGTAACTACCAACATGACATTTAGTAGAGGTTGCTTTTCAATGTTACAGTGTCTGATTCCTCTCCCACTTTTTTTAGATCAGTTCTACCACTGTGTAAATTGAAAATTGCACTCCATTTTTGGTAGGGGATGGGAGGAGGCAACAGGCATTGTCGTCACAGGTGGGCCGTAGTTCTGGAATCGTTCAACAATGAGAGCACATGCCTACACTGTGCTTATCCGCTGCACATTTATCCTGTCATAAAGACCCTTCTAGGACTGACTTTTCTGTGTACTTAAAATTCCACAAATTCAGACTAATTGGTGGAGCACATCTATGTAAACGGATGAAGTATTTTATTGACAAAACATGTCTTTAAAGAAACAGGCCACTCTTCGGGTATGTAGATAAAAAAGAACCAAGCTGAGGAAGAATTGGCGAGCTCTGAGGTCCTGAGGGAGACAGCTTTAATGAACAGATAAGAATGATTAATGGCATGCTAGGTGTGTATAAATACTTCTAAAGAGCTTGGAAAACTTACTCTCAGAAACCTCCC